CTATTCCAGCTGTGTACCTAATGACTGGAATTGCCCAGGTGTTGATTGCCTTTATGGTATTTCCTCCACTGAGTTTGGACTTTAAGATCTTCTTCACTCTCTTGATGTATTCACCGCTAATCTTTTTCTTGACTTCAGTGTGCTTGATGTTGTCAGCTTGAAGGATACCCAAGTATTTGTAGTAATCCTCCTCATCCAGACACTTAATGTTATTTTCGTGGGGCATCTTGATTCCTTCAGTTTTCACTACTTTTCCTTGTTTGATAGTAAGTGTGACACATTTGTCCAAGCCAAACTCCATAACAATATCTTGGCCATATATACGGACAGTGTTGAGCAGCGATTCTATTTCAGATGATGTTTTTCCATACAGCTTCAGATCATCCATGTAAAGGAGATGAGATAGTCTGGTAGATGTTTTTGATGTTTGATAGCCATGTCCTGAGTTATTCAGTATTGTTGACAGAGGAAACAGTGCAATAACAAATAGTAATGGTGATAATGAATCTCCTTGAAATATTCCTCTCTTGATATTAACCTCTCCCAGCTTCTCACCATTGATCTGCAACTGTGTCTTCCATTGTGCCATCGATCTTTGCACAAATTTTCTGATGTTTCTACTGACTCCTGTTATTTCTAGGCACTTGATTATCCAGTCATGTGGCAGAGAGTCAAATGCCTTTTTGTAGTCAATCCATGCCACATTCAGGTTGGTCTTCCTTTTCTTGCAGTTTTCCAAGATCATTTTGTCTATTAGGAGTTGATCTTTTGTTCCTCTGCTATTGGGGCGGTTTCCTTTCTGCTCAGGTGGAAAGAGATTGTGTTCAACTAGATGCTGTTGTACTGCATCAGCTACCACAACAGTTAGTAATTTGAAAGTTGTTAGTAAGCAGGTAATTGGCCTGTAGTTGCCTGGTGTTGCCCCTTTTGCTGGATTTTTCATTATTAGGTAGGTTTTCCCAGTTGTTAGCCACTTTTCAATTTCTCCTCCTTGTAGTATATTGTTGAACTGCTTGGCAATGAGTGGGTGTATAACAATTAGATGTTTCAACCAAAACCCATGCAGTTCATCTTCACCTGGTGCTGACCAATTTTTGATTTTCCTTGCTCTTTTTTCTACCATTTTTCTTGTTATTACTAGTTGTTGTTGTTGTTGTTATTATTATTATTATTATTAAAAGGGTGACTAAGTTTACTAAGTTACCCTTTTACTACGTTTTTCATTACATGAAGATATTTACATTTAATGATTCATTGATTTATTTAATTACAGATCTAACACTTTTATGAAGCAAAGTAATATATAATTAAGATTTTATTTATTTTGTGTTTGATTCCTAGAAATAAGTTACCATATTAGGGTTTATTTCAAGTTACAATGCATAACTCTGAGCTGTAAATAAAGGTATTAAACAAATTTCCAGGTTTTCCTCATATAATACTTCTTAATAGGCTATTCATCTAAACTTTATAAAAATAGTTTATTAAAATATTGATGTTTTCTAAATGGATTATTAAAGAACAATATCAACCTTATATTACATACCTACTCTTGATCCATTCTCAACGTACACTTCTACATAATTAGAAATGACAAATACTCTAGGGCATGAATAAAATTCTATATACTGTACACAAGTTCTCTGTACGTAGGATCTGTGCATAAATTAAGTTGTCTGGTCATGTTAATGAGAGGGATATTACAGAACATGACACATTTGAAGATAGACAACTCACAGATAGAAGAAATTTGGGTTGGAACCTTTGATCTTTAGTTGGAAGTAGCTAACCTTCTAGATTTTTAGTACTATTGAAACAGTACTTCAGAGATTCAGGAACCTTTTAAAAGGGATGGGTGGGACAATGAAATAAGCTTTTATTACTTGTCTTTGAAGAAACATACAATATTAAAAAAAGGAAATGATCAGAAAAGCGTGATTGGGAATATACTTATAGAAAGTGATACCAGACTTTTTAAGAGTTAAATCTTCTAAATCCAAAATGGCACCAATTTCACAGCAATCATAGATTACAGAATGTTCTAACATAGTAAATCTATATTGCTGTGAAGTTGGGAAAAATAACATAGGTTTTTTTTATATTTGTGTCTACACAGACCTCTCCACTACAAATTTTAGTGAAATCAAAATATACTAGACAGCCTATGACGACTTGGGTCATTGTTTCAGATAGTTCATAAAATGTTTTATAAAACATTTTTATAAAGTGTTTCAATTAACTCCACAGGAGTCAGGGGTCCTGGATTTTGGACACTTTCTATAAGTTAGTCCATTTGGGATACCTTGGTTGAAAAGGTTTTGCCCTATGGTGCATTTCTTCAGTTAAAGGTTACAGGCATGAGAATTTAGTAATATATAGTTATTTTAAAATAAATAAATAATACAACGCATCATTGCCAAAACTGTATGAAAATCTGTATGCTTTTCTAATTTTCTAAAAAGCTCAAGTGGTGTAAATCATAGAACACTATCTGTACTTTCTCATTATCATTTTTAATTTATACTAACTTTTACAGTTTTAATGTGACTTCTATTCACATAACTGTGATACTGTCAAAGCATGAAAATAAAACTGGGATTTAAACAAACCGAATCACCAAATGTTTACTACTAATGAAGCAAAGGTTTGAGATGAGTGGATGATAATGACAATTTTAACCATAAAAATACAGCAGTGATATTGTGGTAGTAATAATTGAAATATCATTCATTCATTAAACTAGCTGTATGGTTTCTGTTTCTAAATGCAAATGGGAGTTCCATAGGAAATCAAAATCTATATTTAAAAATTACAATTCTGAGAAAACAGTAGCTTGGTTGGTTCAAGTCTGTTTACTTTTGCTTGTGTGACCCTCTACTTATATCCTACAGTATTCTGTTATTGTTTGTCAATTTCATTCAAAATATTCCTGGCAACCATGGATGTTGAAGCTTTGGTTACCACTCTCTATTTATTACATTCACTTTCTGGATGGCAGGTGATGAAATATACCAGCCATTTTATTCTGGAAGTCTAGATTACTAAGCATATCTGCATAAAATTGGGTTCTATCCAAAACATATTAAACAATCAACAATTGGAGCCTAATGCTATAGTACTATCGTATATTTTCTGATTTGCCAAATAGGCATACATATGGTGGACATTTCACACATAAGTCCTGCCAATGAAGAAAAACATAGATTAACAAAGCTAGCACTAAAGAATAAATTGCTATAAAAGAGAAAGTAACAGTTTCTCACCAGCTTGTTTACAGCTAAAGCCAAAGTAATATGTACTAAAATGCATTCTGGCTAATGATATGATTGCTGTTGGAAGCCACCAAGATCTCTGGTTTTTTTTTTTTTTTTTTTTAGAAGGATGGCTATTTAAGTGTTTCAAATGAAATAAATAATTAACCTTTCTCACCAGTCTTGTGGAATAGTCTAAGTCTTACTTATGACTAATTTTAAAAAGCTTTACAGGTAGTCCTTGCTTAGTGACCACAGTTGAGACCAGCAACTGCTTTGCTTTTCATCACAATTGCTTTGCAGACTTACAGTGTCATTTCCCATTTGGTTGTTAAATGAAATATTGTGGTTAAGTGACATATCACGTGACCGCAAGTTGAAATTTTACTCCATTAACTCTGCTTGTTGCAAGCCAGCTGAAGCACACAAATGGCAACCACATGACTGTGGGATACTGTAACAGTTGTAAATGCATGCTGTTTTGAAGTGCCTAAGTGGCAATTCTGACAGTATGCTGCGACTATCTTAAATGAAATGTTTCATTGCAAAGTTGGGGGTTTTTTTATAACATAATTTTGAATGGTCACTAAATGAGGCACTTGGTAAGCAAGGACTTCCTGTATGACAATAAAACAATGTAAGAGAGGCAATCCAATATAGAAAGGGTGGATGGATGGCTTTGGACTTTGCAATAAATAAAGCAACTTTTCTGTTATCATAATACTGGTAAAATTATAAAAATACAGGAAAAATACATATTGTGAAATAAGGTGTATATATGTATATATTCTCTCTGTGTGTATGTATATATACATATGAGTGTGTGTATATGTACATATGTGTTTGTAACTATACATGTATCTGTAACTACAAATTGCATGATTGTTAAATTTTAGCCATTTTTGGTATCTTTATTTTTAAAATGTTATATTGGTATGATAGAAATCAGTATTTTCATTAGATCAATCAGTATTCCTGTGCCTTTTCATCTCCTTGCTAAGTCATCCCAAAGATGCTTTTTCATGAGGCAACTGGATTTCCTTGTTAACTATGACCTAGTTGACTGAGAATCTCCATAGACACCTTGCTAGGTCAATATTTTATTTCAGATCTCAGAACCATTTATGCTATATTCTTGTATTAATTTATATGAGCATAAACCCCATCTAACACAACTGAACTGATTTCCACGTTGACCCAAATAAGATTGTGCTGTTAATTAAGATAGTACAGCTCCTCAGTTAGGAGAAGCATGAATAGCTGTCTCAAAACATTTATTTAAACAACTGCCTTATACATATGTAGTTTGTGAGGATTAAATGGCTACATTTTGTTCTTTTGTTCTTTTTAACTTACTTTCCAGATTTAGCCAATTTGTAATTCTTGTTGCAAAGTGTAAATATATGTGTGGGAGGATGTTTATTGAGCAGCAGTGAACTGTGGGGGAGATATATTGTACTACAAGCATATGATTCAAGGTTAATAATAAATAATAACATTAGCACTTTGAATAATCTGGCCCAATAGGATAGGTAAATCACTATTTGAAATAACACAAAACTGGGAGAAAGTAACTTAGAACTATGGTGTGTAAACAGAGACTCTTCTTGTAAGCCATAATGAAACCTTACTTCTAGTAAAATATATAACATATGCTGGAAATGAATATAATGTGGTGACAACAGTAAATTCACATAAATGAAATTTTGCATTAAAAGAAGACAAGAATCCAAGATATGCAAAACATACATTAGGGCAGGATATGGTCCTTTGAATGTTATTCTCAATGCTCGTACCAGCCGCAACCGTCATCTGAAAAAGCGTGCAACAAAGAGTGTACTGAATTCAAAAGTGTTGTTGGTAAAATAACACATATATTCAAATACTTAATGTCTTTGATTTCATACAATTGTTCTTAAATTCTTAATTTAGAATATAAGAATATCTCTAATCTTAAACATAATTCTGGAAGTTAAAATAATGGTAAAATAATTATTGCATATTAGTTAAAATATAGTGAATCATTAGCCAAGTATGTATATATAGAAATTCTGGAAGTTAAAATAATGGTAAAATAATTATTGCATATTAGTTAAAATATAGTGAATCATTAGCCAAGTATGTATATATAGAAATACAATTTGAATAACCTCAGTTTATAGACAGTAGATGTTTCTGTTGAATGGTATGAATTTACACAGCAGATCTGTTTTAGGTCTACTGAAATGAAATGATAAGCAGTACTGTGCTTATACAAATATTCTGTTCAATTAGATGGAGTTTTCACAGCAGAAAATCTGTCTTGCTTGCGTCTCACATTTTTATCACTATCTTGCTATTTACACTTAGAAAATTCAGAAAGTGCTACCATACTTGTTTCACATTTTTATAAATATTATGAATCTAGAGCCTTACAAATAGATTATACCAAACTTGTTACACAATTGTTTTATTAGATAAGCTATGCCTTTTAATTATGTTACACACAGAGAGAGAAGGGGGGGGGATGAGAGAATATTTGAAAGTGAAGATTTTCATCACTGCTATTTATTGCTGAAATGACTTCTTGTCAATGCCATGTAAGGCAATGAGTATACGGTCCAAACAGGTCTGAAACTGAACTTGGCAAGACATCATGTTTTAGATGTTGTCTATATTTAGTGGTGTAGAACAGAGGTCCCCAACCTTTTGGGCACCAGAGACCGGTTCCATGGAGAGAGGTTTTTCCACGGACCAAAGGATGCATGGTTTCGTGTGCTGCCTGCATCCCACAGATGGGGCTTTGCTTGTTTATGCAGACTGGTTGCTGGTATGCCGCAGCCTGGTACTGGTCCACGGACCAGGGGTTGGGGATCCCTGGTGTAGAATACCCACAACCGTTGTAATTCTGTCAATGGGGAGCAATTGGCTGAGGGCATTCTACTCCACTGAACAAAAGGAGATAGCATCTGTTACCAACTTCACTTTTAGTTATGCTCTGAAGAAACTAAGAGTACGACTGGGAAAATATCAACACATAACATATTGTTTCACCTGGAAGTCATTTCACCAATTGATAAATTATTTCAACATTCTAGACACCACATAAAAGTAATAGTTTATACTACACTCTCAATTATGCATTCACTGGTCTGTAAGATATATTTTGGCAAACCACAACCATTGTTTTTGTTTGATACAAATAGGTCATTTCTGTTACCTTATAGCTTTTGTTCTCACATATTTTTAAATGTTTTGGAGTTTCTTTTTCCGTCAAAACTAAATTGTGTGTGACATTAACTTAAAATGTTTTGGTACAGTTATTTCCAACTGTTTGCAAATATTTGTAAACAAAGGCAAGGAACCAAATGAATTTACTCTAGTTTGATCCCCTGTATCCCCAGGAAGGTTTTCATCACAAAAAAGTGTCTCTGCAGAACACTCAAAATGTTCCTAAACTCTTAAGTTCAAAGAAAATATTCAGGATTTCACAGGGGGAAATAACAAAAGTGCATCATTTGCATTTTTTCTTTAAAACTGTAGGACTAAACAAAAGTATTTCCAGTTAAAACAAGAGTAGGCAACTAATTGGATAGAAGCAGAAAGTTAACAGTTGGTTACAGCCATTATACATATGTTGGTGAGAACTGTTTACTCTGAATTTATGGGAAGAGTTTAAAAACTTTTGTCTTGTTTTCATTTATATCTATAGCAAGTCCATGTTACGTGTTACTTTAATTTTTTTCCTTTTGTGTTCCATGAAGTACAAATTTTAGGTAGCTAAATGAGGAGGAACTTTGGGGGCTATAAAAATGGATATAAGGACTTCATAAAGTCCTGGAATTTCAGGTTGACCAACATGAGTTCAAAGGAACTTTGGGACTGGAGGAGGAAGAAATAATAATACCAGAGATTATGACATTGGTGTCAGATGGTCTGAGGCACTATAATCTATATTCATGATTTTAGAGGGCAGGGCTCAAATCAGTATCAGTGACTTACCACATTATGTGTAGAACAACATCCAGAATTCCAAATTCTGAACCTCTGTATCCAAGCAACTAGACACAGTGAACATATTTGAGTTGCCATGTGGCATGCAGTCATTTCTCTGCTCCAGCCTTGGCACTCAACTTTTTCCAGGCTTCCATTAATAGTGCTTAAAATAAAACAGTGGTACGGATGATAATCCAGAGGCCTAAAGGCTCTTCAAGGCACAGAGCCACAACTATCATCCCTTCCCTCCCACCATCCAGGAACCAAAAACATCTTGACAGCTTCAATTAAAGGCAGATGTGGCACCAGTGCTGTAGCTTCAGTGACATCACAAAGTGATTAAAAGGAGACCATTGTGACAACATAGCGATCATGTACGTTATTCTGTGAAGGTTTGTCTCAGCAAAATGGCTACATATATACTGTCATTGCTTCATTTTTTGTGGTATTGTTTCTTTTCAAGAGAAGCCCTTCATGATTACTGGAAGCTGAACAGATTTTATTCACACTATAATTTAATTTGGGTGTTTTCCCTAAATCAAGATAGCTTGTAAATTCACTGATGCTATTATTGGAAGCACTGATTCCTTTATAACCCACAGTCTTTATACTATTTAATAATGCCATTTTGTTAAAATTACAAATGGTATTTTTACTGTTGATCTAAAGTTCATGTCCAAGCACCATTTCAGACATATGTTAAAAACAATAATGACCAAGAAAGCATGACAGCCATATGCAGAAAACAACTGATTGGTGCTCACAATTGACACTATATCTTAGAATAATTTAAATTGCCCTGTTTTTTTAAAAGTAATGACGCCAGGGAATTCCAGGTCTCAATTAAGTGCAAAGTGATTTTCAATACTTTATATAAGGAGCCACCAACCATCGGCTGTGACCCACTACCGGGCTGTGTTTGGAACCAGGTTACAAAAATGGCAGGTGAGCATGCAGCTCCATTTGTGCAGGTGGTGGGTGCTCACAGCTCCATTTGCACAAATTGTGCTGTGCATGCTCACATATGCGCTTGCCACTCACGCAGAACCATCCCCTCTCCCCCTCCACCAGGCCACAGGTTGGAAAGGTTGGGGACTGTTGTTTTATATAATATAATACAATACTTTATATAATACAAGTTTCCTCTTTCCTGAGTGCAACTTTAGGAAAGGCCAACTTTAAGAAAAAGAGTATATTTTCCGCAGAAAATCCAGCCTCCTTAAATTGTCCATTCATTACATCTAGTCTTTCCATTGCACTGAATAAGCAAGGTGACTATCATAAGTAAAAGAAAATTAAACAATTTAAGATACATAGAAAATATCAAAATATCACAATACAAGTCAAAAGACTTGTTTGAAGAGGTAATAGTTCAAAAGCCATCCTTCACATTTAACTTAGAAGACTCAATGGTTGCTGCCCTTTAAAAATTATACTACCTGTTTATTTATTTACTGGGTTTATATGCTATTCTGATCACTGACAACTCTGTAAATCAGGTTAAATATGACAAAATTACAACACAAAAACCAAATTACATGTATACACATAACTATCAGGAGAATTAATTATACAAGATATACAGTATATTCCAATGGCAGAAGTAACACTATAAAAGATCTCAACTGTTTCTATGTTACCTTTTGCTGCTTGGAATAACTGTATAAAAAGGAATAAACACTGCAAAGAGCAGTCAGTCATCCTTGCACCCTGCCATGACTGGTCTCTAATTACTTCACCTATGATTCGTGTTAGTGACATCCATAAAGAGAAGGGATATAGAAAAAAAATCTACATTAGCAGAAGTTACTATGCAGGCACACACAATTGAGATTAAGCAGTCTCAAAGATATCCAGGTATTGGGCAACTCTTTTTAAGCAGCAACCTAAAGTCAACTAGAAACAAATGCACCTCAGAGTAGATAGGTGTTAGATAGGCAAATTAAAATCTGACTGATTGCTTGAACTGTTACATCTAGGATTAGTTGTAGCTTCAACTGTTCCTCGGGAACATTCCCAAGGAGGATGCACAAGCAAGAGGTAACTAAGACATGAAAGACTAAGGAGTTGCTTTCACTCAGAGGAGGGTCATAACTGGTGCAAAAGATGGAATGGTGTGAGGCACCCTCATAGCTGTCTCCTGTTCATTTAGCAAGAGCCATGAGACAATGAGGACCTCCCCATCCACCACAAATTAAACCTTCACAGGGACTGTGACATTATCAAAAAGCAAAGATGGAATCATGTGGAATCTCATGACTTTTGAATCCCAAAGTTACTCTGTACCACATAGTTTGATCAGTTAAGATAGTGGTTCTCAACCTTTCTAATGCCGCGACCCCATAATACAGTTCCCCATGTTGTGGTGACCCCCAACCACTTGTACATCACCGGGTGCCAGGGGCGTGGCCAAAAAAAGGGGGGAAAATGGCGGACAGCCTTGTTTGGCAACCCCCGTGAAATGGTCGTTCGACCCAAATGGGGTCCCGACCCACAGGTTGAGAACCACTGAGTTAAGAGAACTATTGTTAGTAAGATTTTCACTAAGAATACCTCTGTGAAATGCATTCAGGATTAGAAACAAACCCCAGTATTGCAAAGATCATGGCTGATTTTTAATATTGTAATTCTTACTAATTGTTCATCTTTATTAAGAAGCGATTCTCACTAAAATCCCTCTAGAGTCTAGACTGAACTAATTAGATGCTCAGAAAGTGATATGATTTTATTCTGTTTAAATTCTTATACTAGCTCATTGCAGTTTGGACTGACATAGGTTTAGCACATCTTATTTCAACTTTATAAAGCATTTTATATTAAGCAACTTTTGAGAACTA